GTTCGCTTTCGCCGGAAATTGCTGATAACCACGTGAGCACTGTCCAGTACCATAAAGTTGCGGCATTCGACTACTGCACACAAATTAGTTTAAAAATTGCATTATGAGGTTAGGAGAATTCAGCTTCGGATGTTTGCATCGCTATTAGTAAACTGGGATTTCTTGTTATAGTCGCAGTAAGAAAACCAGATTGTTGGAATTGGACGGCTTGATCCGTTTAATGTCAATTCGATTTTATGGTAATGTCGAACCACAGTCGCAAAAACGTTTACTTTTTGTGGGATTTTACCGATTGTCCCATATTGCTTTTATTACTCGAAGTGAGTAACAATTTCAGCTATGACGGTCTGCGCCCACTTAACTGTTGAATGAGAAAAATGTAGCACTCCATCGGAAAGTAATTACAAAATTACAATTTCACGGCAAGAAATGTGGTTTTGCCGGCATTTGGTAATTGTTTCGGTAAAATACTCGTGATTGAGACACAGTTGAAAGAGGTGACACGAATCGTGACGTGACGGAGCTATCACCCAGACTTACCATACCAATTTGTTGAAAACTACTAGTATGCATGGTAACTTATTCATACTAAACTTATCATCCTGTTTGCGTGGTGTAGACAGTTAGTGCCCATCCCCGTAAAAAGGTAATGTGTCAGATATAATGTACTTCAATGTCTTCTTCAATGTACTATCTACAATGTACTAACTACAATCTACAATGTATTAACTACAATGTACAATGTACTAACTACAATCTACAATGTACAAACTTATCTTAGTGAGAGACAGTTGATAACAGTTGATGAAAACGAGTAGGATTCAGTATATTGTGCCTTGCTCGTGTCTCTTCGATGTTCTCAAGATTAAATGCTTAAATTTGCGTCCATTCATCCGCAATCCCATTCATCAGTCACAAAATGTGAATCGGAATCTTATAAGGATGTTTTGTGCATGCCTGATATCGCACGACCTATAATTATTCATTTTATCAGGGATTCGGCTGATGTCTCAGTATTATGTTATTGTATTATTGTGGAAGTTATACCAATATAGTTATTATACCAGTCCAACAATTTCTTAACTGCAAGAGATTAATAATCTCTTGCAGTTAAGAAATTGTTGCAAAAAGTTCAGTTCCATCCTCAAGAGTTGTTCTTATTAATTGATTAATGATTAATGCCCATTCCGTTTGAGACTCTGCTGGTTGTCGCATTATGTTCGCTCCCACTTGATATTGGGATGTTAAATACGTATTGTGCATTTATTCAAAGAAAACCACGGTGAAAAACTGTTCATTGCTGTAAACTGATGTTCTGCTGGATTCAATACAATAATAATACTGATGGTCATCTTACATTCAGTAAATTTCATTCACGGAGTGTCATTTACTGAAAAAGTGCAGGGTATGGTTGCTTGTCTCGAGATCTGTCAAGCTACTCACTCGACTTAGTAGGAAACTGCTGACACCATTGCGGCAAAAAGTAGAAATAACTTCATTGGAAGTAATGTTCAATCGAGACGTGTCCATTTCCAGAAGTCAAGAGTGCTTCTCGCATATAAGGGGTGTTTTGCATTTCTTAAAATGAGGCTGTATTCACAATGTATTCTACATCACAGCATCCATGAAAATTTTCAAAACCTGAAAGTTATATGAAACCGATGGGCTTCCTTGTCTGACTGATACAACGGAGTTGTATCAGTCAGTTATCATAGTCAGTATCATATCATAGTCAGTATCATAGTTACATGATTCTGAATTGTTGACCCAAGTACCCGTGGGTGATCCAAAACTCGTCCATTGACAGTCCTGTATAGTCCAGCGATCGTACAGAAGCGTATGCTGGACGTACATAGGATGTCATCGCCATGGATCGATATCTTCTCATGCATTCTGAGCATTATCTGAGGAGAATTTCCCTACATCGAACTCTCAATTACTTCCTGTTTATTGAATTACGATTTTATGGGATGACGTTATGAGCATCCAATTACGGGATTTCTTATTGTTCCTTTTTTTTCTTCAAATCTCCCATCTTAGGTCGAAACCCAGTAACTTCAATCATTATATAGTGTCCCAGAAACCCCGCTCCAGTTTTTGTACATTTGGTATATTTTTTTCTGATGGAAATGAGTTTTGTATCACTGCTGTTTAACCCTCTCGTGCATGTCACGTGCATATCATATGAATTCAGGTTTGTTGATTTTTTGTTAGTTCTGTTTGATGAATTTGTTGATGAACATACTTTAAAAAAATTTTTCCCGAAATTACAAAACCAAAAATAATACCGTCCACTATAGTGGACACCATGCACTTACGCTTTTGATGACAGAGCTTTCGGAAAGCTTAATTACAGGCCCGCAAGTTTTCGGCAGTTTCACGTGTTAATTCATTTGCAAGACTTGCAAATTTCCATACATAGTATGGAAACTTTCCACGCCGATAAATCTATTAGCTCGCGTTTGTATTTTGTTTAATCGTTGCATGACAAGTCCTGCGATGCATGATGTGGCATGCATGACCTCCTCTGGAACCCTAACTACGGGCCTGCACTTCAGTTTGGGAAATGACCTTGATTTTGTCTCAAGTCGAGACGCATGCCGACGTGCCAAGCCCATTCTCCTCATGTCTTTCTCTGAAGGGAAAACTTGACTGCAGTGGATTGGCAAGGATGAGCACCATCCTTGTGAAAATTTTGCGGGTTGCGGTTGAAAAGTAGATCTAGGCGTATAGCCTAGATCTACTTTTGTTAAGGATCATGGCCATCGTCCAAACCCAAAATTTCATCGGGTGTGTCTACATCACTCTGGTCTCACTCTGAGGTCATCATTCTTAGCCTATTCAGAGTTGTGAGGAAAATCGTCGAGAGCTTCAATTGATAACGTCATCGCAATGGAGACTGTAGACATCCCCCCCAGTCCCGACCTCATCAGAAGCCCATCCCACTGATGCCGCTATCTGTTCCCATTCATCTCCTTCACTTTCGGCTGAATGGCCCTCTCTGACCCCTTCTGCTTCTGTTTCATCTCGTACTATGCGAAAGAGATCCTTTTCCCTCACTCCAGTACGGCGCTTGAATGCAAAAAAAGTTCGAGATGGGTCTGCTTCAGACTCGAATGATGACTCATTGACTCAATCGCAGTCGTCTTCTTTTTGTTTAGACACTGAACAAAGGAAAGCACTCATGGCGCTCGATCCATCCTCTTCTCCCCTTGGGCTAGAGGAGTTTCTCTCTTTCCTTGAAGAAGTTAAATATTCAAGGAATCCTGGCATTGCTGCCCAAAAATATTCGGATAACGTTACTGGTATTATTGCCATGATAGACGCCTTGCGCAAATCCTCCACTGATAAGAAACTCCAAACGCGCCTTAAAGGGCTCAGAAAGAAACTAAAGAAACCAGTTGAAATCCCTTGAACTCTCCCTTACATATCATAATTATCATGGAAGTCTGTTGTTGGAATGTTAATGGAATTTCTGGATCCTCTCGTTTTTTTCAAACCTTCATTCTCGAAAGCAATCGAAAATTGTTCCTCTCGGCCCTTTGTCTGACCATAATGCAGTAACCCTGTCGATTTCTCTACCGAATTCCTCTTTTAGAGGATCCGCTTTCTGGCACTTTAATAATTCCCTCCTGGAAGACAATTCGTTCCGTACTTCCTTTGCACACTTCTGGAACGATATATCAGTTAAGAAGTCGCAGTGTGATACTCCTACAGCCTGGTCTCCTACGGCCTTTTCAATGAGTTATGCCACCTCAAAGAAGTCCGATTTTTTCATTCGGTTTAACTCGATTCAAGCTGACATAGAGTACCTTAAGATCCATGAACCATCCTCACCCAACCTTCAGGATAAACAGAAAGAATTAAAAGTCTTCCTTTCACATATTGCTGAAGGGGCTATGAAAGAGGGGTATGCTACAACCCTAGTAGCAGATAACATTGAAACAACATTGACTCACTGTTGCGTTCCAAAAAACTTATCCCCTTTGTCTACAACAACTTAGTTCTTGTAGCACCCAGCAAAATAGCTCGTTTTCGTCTAATTGACCGGATGTTAAAGGAACAACTATTAGCGTATGAAATGTATTCCGTTTTCATCCTGTGGACACTAACTTACATCAATTTCATATCATGCTTGCATTAAATTGCTGCAGCAACCTGCAATTTTAGTAGCTTTAAGTCACAGTGACACCAAAGTAATTGTTATTGTTGGCAGTCAGGTGACATTTAGAAATTTCACTTACCCGATAAAAGGACGAAGAACACTATAGTTAGATTCCATGTGCACCCTTCTCTGGGAATTGACATGGACTTCACACATTGGTGACTACGTTAAATCATAATTGCCCTGGAATTTAGCATGGGATGGTTTCCATGTTAGATTTGTGTCAATTTGATATATATCACGGAAGAGACTTTTTTGAATAATATTAACATATATGTTGATAACGTTGGTTGCATAAGATGGTTATCGATTGAGCAAAGAGCTTGCAGCAAATTTATATAATGTTAATATGTTGCTTGTGATATACCGGCAACACGACTAAAGAACTTCATTTCTTAGCGGCCTAGTATAATTTATTTATGTCGTTGCCATGGTCATGAGTACTTGTCATGGTCGTTGTCATGGCATGAGTATGATACAAAAAAACAAATAAATTTTCTGCTTTGTGACCGATACGACAATAGATGTACACAAAGAAATGTTAAGCCATATTGAATGCCTCATTCCCAGGCCGAGAACTTTTCATCCAGCCTTCCTCTCAATAATTATTAACGCCTCTCAATTCTTAGTTCGTCAGCAGCCGCGGACGGCCGCGTCGTCATCGACAGATTGTCTTCGTGCAATTCACACGGAATATGGTCCTGCTACCTTTTTTTTTCTCGGCGACAACATGCATCGGAATGTCAATGCTAATTGTGATCCATGTGAATAGACTGTGATGTGTTCACGTTGGATTCGCACGGCCGGATGGCGTTAAGAAATGTCATTGCCACCATTATTTTCATAAATCGTTTTTATTCGCGATTCTCATAGCTCAAGTACATCATTTGAAGTATTCCTTGTACTCTAAGCAGAATCCATTCCAAATGTTCGCAGATTCAGGAACGTATCCCCAGCACACGGGTTTCATGCGTTTAGGTTTCTTCGGGAGATCCCTGCAGAATTGATTTCGCTTCGTCTCCGTCATTTTGCCGACGTCCTTGGCATCTAGGCAGTCGTTGTAGGTGACTCCAGTGACCAATTCCAAGGTCAAAAGCAGTGCAAAAACTGATACCAGTGTCTGAGTGGATGACCGGGTTCTCATGATCTGGGAACAGGGTAAATAAATTTTCATCAAAATTCATCAAATTTATTGCTGCGGTGAGAGGCTAAAAATTATGAGAAATTTCTGAAAATTGAAATTTCTTTTAGACTGGTTTCCAATATGAGTGGAAAATGAGGGAGGATTCCTATGGATCGAAAAGCCGACGGTCTGCGATTTGTGATGACTTCTTCTTTTCTTCTTTTTTTTTCGTTGCTGCTCTTCACCCTTCGATGAGAGCGAAGTTACAATATTGCTTCTTCCTCCCCTCGTCAAAGTTGCAGCTTCTCAACTGTTCTAAAAGGGTCCTGAAGGGTGCACAACTCCAAAGACTGTGAGGGCCACTTGCGACTTTTACTGATACCGTCGGCCGCAGTCTGGCTGACCATAGCTGTAGCCAACTGGATTGAAGGCTTTATAATCCTTGCAACGCCACGGTCACGGCGGGTCTCGCGGGCCGTATGTTGTGCATGCATGATTCAAGATTCTTGATTGGCGATGCCCAAACCGAGCAAGCAAAAACGGAGGTTTAAGGAGGGAAAGAGAACTCACTCGAGTCGAAGAATGGATGAAGGTCAGAGTCAGAAGCCCTCGGAAGCCCTCTTCGACGCAGCGCTGCGATGAGTGTGAAGGGCGAGGCCAGTCCAGGGTCCATTTATCGGAGGCAAAGCTGGGACCTGGCATCGCTAATGGCATCGTTTATGGTATCGTTAAGGGCACTAATGGTTTTCTGGTTTCGAAGTGAGTGCACCTGGAGGTGTGCAGAGGCCACTTCAGACTCCACGGGAGCGAAAGTATTGCGTCTCTCCGGGCTCAACGCTCACGTTTCAGATGAAACACTTCTCTCCCCGACTCCATTCGCCATCGCTATTCATCGGTCAGAGCCTCAGTCCCGCACGACATAAAAATCCTCCCTTTTCATGCGAGACGGAAAACATCGTGCCGGGATATCATTATCAATATGCAAATTTACTTATGTAACTATGCGTAACTATGGCTTCAGGAAAGTTTTCTGTGAAAGTACCCAAACGATTAGTATTTGGAAGCATCGAAGTTTGCTGCTTCATGCGTGATTTTTACATCTTGAAATTTATTTCTGAGAGGCATAGAATATTTTTGTGCGTCGCAAAATAGAAGCAAGAATGGAATCAATCTGTACTTTCTCATCTTTCATCTCAACGTTATCTTGTCAAGATCTTTTGGCACTAAAAGAATCTCCCAAGAAAACGGCTTAAAATTCACAGTTGGGGATTATGAGGTTGACCAAGTGGGTTTCGTGACTTACTGGTGCTTTCTGCAAGCATCAAGTTGCTGTGGCAGGGCAACATGGCTTCATTCTGTCAAATGTCTCTGTCCCCAACTATCCAGTTGAAAAGTTGGCACTTGCTATCCTGGCTTTGGGACATGAGACCCCAAATTTGGTACAGTGGTTCCAATAGGTAATGTGCTATTATTATACCTCTCCGTCATCGGTTACCTTTTTGTCTCGAAGATCCTTCTTCATCCGAGGGAAGAAGTCAGAAGAGGCCAAATCTAGCGAATAATATGGGTGAATAATATGGGGAATAATATGGGGAACAAGCAGTTCGAAGTCACTGTCTTCGATGCCACACAATGCTACGCGTGGTGTGTGTGCGGGGGCGTTTTCTACAAATACGTGGTCATCGAAATAAAATGCTTGGGAAGAGGGAAAAAATGTTAGGAATCCAATGAAACTTGGTGACCGATGCAACATTAAATTAAACGTTTCAGACCTGAATTAAGGTCACTAACATAATAATGTAGTTTTTCGAATTCTAATTCTACTTTAATTCTAATCGAAATGTTTATGTTCTTTATATCGTTTTTATATTTTATATAAATTTACCATATCGTATATATGATATAGTATACATGTAATTAAATAACTGAAGATTACAAAACTAACGGATGAGAGAATGCCTCCGATGAAATTGAGCCATGCATAATTGCGTCCATTGTAGTGTAATATGGGACGCAAAGTCACGAGAATCCCAAGAAATTACCACCGACACAATGAAAATGCAATGTCGACGAATGGACGCGGGATCTGAATGGGTTAAAATGCGCGCTGTATTGAATGCCCCATTCCCAGTTAGGCCGAGAACTTTTCAACTCGCCCTCGTACGTACCAAAAAAAAAAAGAGTCGGAATGCATTTTGCTCACTCGAACGCAACCAACCTCCAATTTCATTGTCAAGAACTGAATCGCCGGTACTTATTGACTGCTGATTCCATGTTCTTGCTGTATTCCCCACAACTTTTGAAGCATGTGGTCGTACGGCTTTTTGACGTCGAGAAGAAGCTTTTATCATTTTCCTTTTCTGCCATGTGGGAGGAAAGTGTGGGTGTTTCCGAGGAGGATGGTTGTGTCATGAGAATGGCCGGAAGATTGGATGGCAGGAGAGAACGAAAGAAAGCGAGGGGACGGCTGGGAATTGAACCCAGGCCTCCTGATTGCCGGTCAGGTGTGCTACCACTACACCACCGAACCCGGGACAGTCAATCGTGCCTCTCAATGCCATCCTTATCATTACATTTGCAACTCATCAGGGAAGACGGATCCTCACTTCACTCCCTCTTGACTTAAGTCCTACCAACAGTGACCTAACAGTCCTATTTTTAGTTCCCTTCAAGGGAATGGTGTGAGAGGGTGTCGATCCTCTGGAAGGTTGGCTGCCCCCCCCCCCCCCCCCCCCCCCCCCCCCTCCCCCC